AAGTGAGGGACAACCGATAGAAGACCTCAAAAACAGGCACGGAGTTAAACATTGTTAAAGTCTTATGTTACAGCATTTGGTTTTGAGACAAAAGCATGTACATTGTGCACCAATAATTATGCTGAAAGTGCCTTTTGAATATCCTATAGAATCAGCCGTATAAGTGGATTGCTAACGCCTGCGTTGAGACAAGAGCGTTGTACCAGTAAGTAATCTACGTAGTATTGGTTTGGTATGAGCCAAAAGTTGCTTGGGGAAGAGCAAAGAGTGTTAGAGTATTGGTGGTGATTGCAAGGTGCATGGACAGGAAATAGCTGGCGTAATACGCTAGGGAGCGCAGCAAAAATGAAAATAAATAGGTTGCCGCAAGAGCGATCTAAAGGTCAGTTGGCGGTAGGGCAGCGGAAAGATTGGATGCAGATATTCAAAAGGACTAAAGGTTACTGAGATACGGAGTGGCTCCTAACGAGCACTGTGTAATCGCATGTGTGGAACTTGCTACTTCTATACAGAGGTGCCGAATTTAAGACGACAGACGGATGGTGGCGCTAGGAAAGACTATCATTGGCCAGAAGTAGCCATTCGAATCAGACGCTTAGTCACTAGTGTATGCCTATAGGGTCACTAAATGCATCAACAGACGTTACAGGAGAATGTATGCTGGGGAGACAAAGGAGGTATCCTAACAAGCTGAGATGATTGTAACCTAAGACCACTAGTTGCTACTAAATAGGTGCTGAGGTTAATAGGATCGACGGATAATGGCGCTATGAAGAACAGTCGGTGGTCACATGTAACCGTTGCATTGAGCAATTTGGTCATTAGAGGATTCCTGCAGTGTCCCAGAATACATCATCAAGCCAGCGAAGTTAAGTGACGCAGACATTCTAAAAGATTACAGGATGGAGAAACAAGGAATGTCTCCTTGTAAGTTCGGATATGCTCAAAGGTGTATGGAGCTTACAACGAATCACTGTGGAAAACGTGATGAAGATAAGAGGAACGAAGGGTAACGGTGCAAAGAGAGGGAACCAGTGGACAGCAACTGAAATCGCATTAAGCCTTCTAGTTATTAGTGGATAGTTACGATGTCAGAAGAGTCAGCAACCCAGCGAGGGTAGGTGATGCAAACAATTCAAGAGAGTAAGTATTGGAGAGATACTGAGTGGCTCCGAGCGCAAAGGGGTACGCTGTCTTCATTGACTCACTGCAGCTGAAAGAGCCGACGTAGAAAATACGAGGAACTCATAATAATATCAAGGGAGAGAGATAGTACCGACGGATAGCAGTGGCATTGGGGTGCAGCGTTCTAATGTTAGTGGATACCTAAAGTGTTCCAGAATAAGTCAACAAACAGCAAATGTATGTGAAGCACACAGTCCCAGAGAAAAGTAAAAGAGTGGCCCCTAGCATGCTCCGGATATAAGCAGAGTTGGTTGGAGCCTACGAACAATGGCTCTTGCAAAACAGAGGTGCCTGAGGTAATAGGAAGAATTGATAAGGGTATTAAGGGAGGGAGAGTATCGACGGCTGGCAGTGGCATTGTAGTGAAGCCTACTAGTGGCTAGTGGATAACAAAGTGTTCCAGAATAAGTCAACAGACAGCAAATGTATTAGACGCAGGCAGTCCCAACGGATGAAGGTTGGAGATAAAAGGGTGTGGGTCTGAGCAAGCTCGGGAGGTGCTTGGAGCCCACGACCACTAGTTGTTACTGAATAGAGATGCTGAGGTTAATAGGATCGACAGATGGTGGCGCCATGAAAATCTTTTGGTGGTCAGATGTAACCGCTGCGATAGTTAATCTTAATTACGCGGACTACCTTGTCTTGCTATTGCTCGAGGTTCCAGTGGCTCAACTAACACTGAATAGCATCAATAAACTGGTCCCAGTAGTTGGCATGCGCTTCTCACCTTCACAGTGCAATATGTTCACGCAGGACAACCAGCCACTTGCAGACCCCTTGACCCTTGATAAGGAAGAATTTTAGCTGGTTTCTCGGTGCACTTACCTTGCCAGTTGCACCAATAATGTTGAGCGCGTAGAACCAAAAGTCGGTTCGAGCATTGCAAACGTCGGCACTGTCTTCTTAAACCAGCACCGCCTTTAGAGACAGAAGGAAGCTTTCCGTCTTCTGAAAGGCCGTGTTTAAATGGCCAACTTGTGGGCCGTCTAAGTTTATGGGTGTAAGACTTGGCCTCTTTGGTCTGACGATCTGAGGTCCTTCAACTCTTTGATCCTCCTTGGCTACGTCGGTTGTCAGCAGCGTGTCCGAAACGCTGATGTGCAGGGATAAGCGTGTAGGCTCCTTACTACGCCTGTTAGCGCCGAATGGTTTGCGTTGGCTTTGGCACGTACTACGTATGCCTGGCCACCAAGGAGAGCTACCTTTAGCCCTTTCGTTGTAGGGTGGCGCGAGGCTCGAGATGGACAGTAGGTGACTTGTCAGCGTGAAAGGAAGTCACTGGTGACCAAACTGTTTGCGGTTAGTCCGTCTCGCCTACCGGGCTGAAGTCCACCCGACCCGCTTTGCGCTTAGCTCCAGACTTTACAGGACATGGCTCGCAATCGACACCAGTGGCGTGTCCGCTGCGGTCGCCTAATCGGGACGCCATTTTAAAATGTTTGGTGATATCTTATCGGCGGTGTAATGGTTGATTGTGACGCGAACAGTGGAAGCCACAAGGAAGCTCTCACGCTGGTACCGGCTTAGCTTTGTACGATAGCCAAATGTTTGTGCCGGTACGTTGCTAACACAAGGTGTAGGCGCTTTGCCGCTGAAGGGTTACTTAGGGCATTAAAGATTTTCGGTAGGTGCCCATTCGCTCGCATTTAATATTATTTATGTCATAAGTCAAAAGAGTTTTGTGCTAGCGGAGCATAAGTTCAACTGGCTGATGTACTGCTGTTGTTGATGAGATTGATTGATGCATGTATCGTCTGCTCGAGGGAGCTAAGCGGAGCCTGCTGAACAGCGACAGTCGGGGGCATACACTAGGTTGCCTTTCCCAAAGTAATTGAATCCGTCCCATGATTAGGTGGCCCAACGAACCCTGTTACTCAGCGGGAAAGCAAGCCCTCGCATATCCCAGCAAATTTACTTAGGGGTGACATTGTCACGGGACATCTTATCCAACTAAAATTAAAGAAGCCGGCCTGCAAGCATTTCTGTACCTTCTGGATGATCGGTGGATCGTTTTGGATCTCGACGGAAGAACTGTACATTATATTCATGCCGGCCTTTGTTATAGCGTACCTGAATTATTGCATTCAGACTTTTTCCACTTACCTTATTTGTGTCAGAATAGCGGTAGAGCGGTTCTTCAGGAGTTCAACCAAAAGCTACCTTGGATCGCTGAACAAATCTCACTGACAAGTTTCTCAAGCTAAGGTTGTTCTCAATAAACTGTTTTTGCATTCTTGTCAATTTGTTGCCCACGTACCTTATACTGACAGCATGGATCGGCCCAGAACTCAGTTGGATGCTTCTTCCTAATCAGTAAAAGTACACTTCTTGAGCACCCGGTTAAATCGTACAAACGTACATAATCGGATTCAAGCTGACGCCCTTATTTCAACTAGTATGCGCGGCTCCAGGCACGCATAACCCTAAGAAGTCGAATTATCACCCCTTGATGGAGATTAAACACAACCTCCAAATCCTCAAATTACAGCCCCGAACCTACTTTATTATTTCTTAGATACAACCCTAATTACTCGCTAGTTTCTTTCCTTTCTATATACTAGTACAAAATTCATCTTCAAATTCGTTTTTACTATCAAAATCCTTCAAGCGAACTGTTACATTACTCGTCCTTCTAGTGCAGCACAAGGACTGCACTTTAAAAGCTGTTAGTGCTTGGCAAGTAAGATGTCATTGATTGAATCCTAGAAAATCTGTACTTGCTGATTTTGCCTCCCGAACTGACCAATCATGCCACCGAATTTCCTCGTACGTCAATGACATGTTGTGGTCTGGAGCTTCACCTGTTTGACTGGACATGATGTTTAAACTATTATAACAAACTGTTATGTCATATTGTACCTACGCAACATAAGAAGCTAGTCTGTTTGTACTATGGTTATATGTGTTCGAGTAAACCAGGTGAATTGCACCACGCGCTTCCGGCTTTCTCGCCTCTAAGTGTTTGCGACTCCTGGCTGGCGACCATACCTTTCCCCCATCGCGAACATTTTGCAGTGATTTTACTTATAGGGATTATGCGTTTAAGTACTAAAGGTCTATATCGCCTTTATTTGGCTTTGCCGCCCTTTCTTTAAGACAGGAAGAACCTTAGTTTGCTTCTAATATAGGCCACTTGCTCGTCAGTGTCCCAGTAGCAAGTCAGAAAGTATGTTGTCGTCCGGCATGGCCTATATTGTGAGCGTCATTTCATCTTCCCTGCTTTCCCATTTCGCCTTCGGTGTTGTAGTATTAGCCAACCGTCGTACTATGTTACACCCACTATCTAGTCGATTCGCGCTTGGTCTTCTTTCGGCAGCAGTGAGAGTACCGCCAGGCTAGCCATAAGATGTGACACAAGAACACCATCCATCCAGCTCCGACACTTAATAGGTGATTTACCAGCCCTTTAAGAAGTATCTTCTTTTAAGCGCCTTGTTCTAATACGACCCCCGGACGCCCCGGACGAAGCAACAAGCGAAACCCACGACAGGAAGCATATTACAAGGCGCATACGAGGTGGAATGACACAAAGAATTTCCTGAATTTCCTGTTCTATTGAAAATTGTATTGAATCACATTAGTGCTAAAAGCGAATTTTTAACAAAAATATCCAGCATGTTTTGTAGCACTGCAAATGAGGGCACACCGAATGAAAATTAAGCCAACAATTGAACTTGATGCTGTCAAAGCACCTACCCAAAAAAATTTATTTTTAATTTGTAAGCTATACCAATGGGCTTTATTTGGTTGTTGATACCGTGCTGCACAAGCTTTTCTGTTCGTTTGTTTAGGGTAACATTGCTGAAGGCCGTTCTGTTTTTAACTGCGGCATATTCGGAGGGGTTCATTTGACCTTGGAGGCTGTTTGTGCCCTGTTGCCTGTTTGGCTCTTTAAAGTTAGTGTCCATTTGGAGTATGCAATGCACGCGGCGAATACCGCGTGTGCGTGTGACAGGCACCAAGAATTCCCAAACTGTTTCAAAGAGGCCCCATCATCTGAATTTGGGCACTTTGATACCCCGGCTGCTGCTTCCGTCGCTTCCTGCACAACAGATGACACTGGAATCGAATTATCAAGTCTCGGCGCGTCACCGGTTACGCTTAGCGGGTCAAGTTTACAACATCATCGTGAACCCAGAGCGGTACCGGAAAGTTTGGAACGGCCACCTCCCATTCCTCCCAAAACAATCAACATCCTCTCTTCCCCCCTTTCAAAGAATTTACCTCCCACTGGGTCTTTCGGTTTTCATAAACATTCGGAGAGACATGTTTTATCAGCAGAGGAACTTGCGGTACGGTTTCCTCCATCCAATTTAAACTCTTCGACGCGTGTTCTCAAGACGATCAACACCCTTGGCGGGAAGACCCCGCGTGCCACCTCTTTATCTCCACAAGCAAATCACTTTCATGACCTTGTACGATCTCCGTTATTGTTGGATGATTTACCGCCTGCAGAAAACTTCAAGCCAAGCAGTGGCAGCAGGACCTTTCGTCCGAGAGCAGTAGCACCGGTACATAAGGACCGATACGTCCCTTCTTGCTCCTTGGAAGCATCCTGGGCTCCCGCCACTTCGTCGAAACGTCTGCATTCTGCGAATCATGAAGTCCCGTCACCACCCTTACGCGTTCAACGCTTTTGCGCGTGTAGTGGTAACCGCCACTGGCGCACAAACGCTTTACCACTTCTTTCGTCTCTAGCTTCTAAATCAAAAATGAGTTCGGTGGCCGACATCCCTACCTCCAGCGCGCGCATATATGAGGGCTGCGCATCTCTTTCACATGAAGCAGCTGCTCGAACCCAGAAGGACCGATTATTTAAGTCTGGCTGTGGGGGGCTGAGATGGCTCTCTTGCACTTTGTTCCGATTTTTCAAGTCTGGTCCCAGTTTTAAAAGGTCACCAAGTGCCAAAAAGTCACACTTTTCTGACGACGAGACACTAAAGTCTATTGATACTCCCTTAGGGGATTATCTGTGCACTGTTGCTCCTCCATTTGTTAATCGTGCAAATGATGCGTCTTGTCATACCCGGATTTCGTTCGCTTCTTGCGGAGGATCGTTGTGGAGGGAACGGTCTAGGAGTTACTGCTCCGCCCACAGACATCGTCGGTCGGCACCAACTGAGACGGTCTCAAGCGCTCCGGTGTCAACTCATCGTTATGTAATCCCTCCTGCAACATTGTCCACCTCAGCTGCTAGGTCTATACCCTCAACCACACCGGCGTCCATTGATGTTGAATTCGTCAAAGAGTCTGCCGAGCTTTCGTTGTGTGGTGTAAATTGTGCACATCTAAGATGCCACCTGCCTTCACAGAGCGGGCGTCTCCATCCTTTACCTCCGTCTCGAGGTAACTCCTCAAGCCGGGACGCAACTACACAAGAGAAGGATGAACCTTCTTCTTCTCTTCTCTCTTCTAAACCGTTTACTTCTGTATGTGTGCACTCTTCACAATGTCTTCTGGGCACCATGCCAAAGGTAAGTTGCTTAAACATTTCTTTTGCATCCTTGCCTGAGTTGTTTCTCATCACCTTCGTGAAAGTAATTTCCAAAACCCTCATCTCAGTATCCTGCCTCATTTGTATCAACACGAATCCTTCGACTCACGTTTGCTGCTGCTCCCGTTGCTTTTAATCGTCTTTGCAATTAGGCGCTCTCGATAGGTGACAAATCTGGCTACAGTAGTGTCATATTTTTCCTTCATTTATTGTATTATGTAGGAGCACGTAAACTTAGGGTGGCTCACAGTGACTACTACACAATACGCAAAACTGGAGCGCTCTCAAAGGATTTGTGTCTAGTTTTCGACGTTCTCGAATCGTTATGCTTGACTACGGATTTATCATTTACCCTTCTCATGCGGGTCCATTTGATAGAGTTTGCTTCACTTCATTTTTACTCGTACTAGTGTGTTCAACACTGCAGCTACAGTCTCCAAGACTAAAAGAAATTATTGTTATACAAAGCCCTATAAAGCCACACTAAGCGCTGATTGAAGATGTCTTAAATGATTGAATGACTGGTATCTAGAATTAATAGACTGTACAAGGCTCTACTGAATCGGCTACGATACAGCGGATGTTTTTTCTCACCCATATGCACGGCCATGTAGTTTTACCCACATCATTCATTGTTCCTGCCGATTTCTCTACGTTTTACCAATATGTGCTCAGTTGATGACATCTTCCACCCAGTAAGCAGTTGCGAATCAGACTCAACTTTTGTGCCACAGTACCAAAAGGACATCAAATATTATAGCGTACAAAAACTGGCACGTAATATAATGCTAATTCTTATAATATGTATTGAGTATGAGATCGTGGTTGGGGGGGGTCAAGCTAAGGAAAAGAGAGATGGACTAAGAAACCCACAACATACAGACCATTGAGGTCGGATTTTCGCTACGTCAACCAGTGTATCCAACCAGGCGTGTTCGTCATCAGACAGATCCCCACCTGCCAGTCGGGAGATATCAACGGTTGCCAACTTCGAAGTGAGGGTTTTCATCCATCCTGACCAACTGATTGCTCCAGGCTTGAACGCAGTTTCGTCATGCGATCTTTGCGAGCCTCGCGTTCGTTTCTAGCCAGCTTGTCAGCGAGCATTCAGAAGTTTCAGAGACTATGTAGAGACTCAATGTCCAGGTTGGCAATTTGATTTGCCACATGATGACATATCTGTTGATAGTAACTTCTGGTCAATATGCCTTCAGTAATCTTCAACTCTGTTCAATAGGCGTCTACTCAGCCCGGATTCCATCGTGTTTTGAGTCGCATTCAGAACACATGACTTCACCAGTTGCCTGGTGTCTATTGGCTGACAGCGTTGTCGTTGCCGCCTGCCAAAACGCACCCGCAGATCAGCACACACAAGAACGTAATCGAGTCCACGCTGGTGCTCTAAATTGATCCAGCAGACAAGGGCCATCGCGACGAGACTGGATCTTAACGTAGTGCAATGGTTTGTGTGCCTCAGTGATCCATTGAGCTATGCTGGGTGGTGCTTTTTTGCACCTTCAGAGCCACTCATACCAGATTGGTCAATGGTTAGAAGTCAGAAAATCTCAGTCTCGTGGCCCTTCAGGTTGGGGGTTGGAGTGAGCGTGGCTCCTTATTCCATAAAACGGGCTCTGTAGTCCAGTGCCAAAACCCCGCTACCCTGCGGTCAGGTTTATGAACCAAAGGCTTTGGTTGAGAACCCTAGTCGTTCTCCTGTCCAGGTCTGGGCAACCTGACAATATTTTGCCCACACAATACACCGAACCTTTCTTCTAACGATTTCTTGATGCTCTGACCGTTACAGAGGATAATCAACGGTGCTCTATCTGCTGCATCAAGCAGGGTAGATAGTGGTATGGATGCTACTCCTCAGGCATTCCCGTCTTCTTATCTCCCTTGCGCTTTTTCATCATTATCGTCCCGCTCCAACTTTACTTTTATCCCTCCATTTTCAATCCCCAACTCTTGGTCCTCCCTCACCTTGCTTCTATAGTCGCTTGTCTTCTAGTTTCAACTCACTCACAGTCGCATGACGTCGCTCCAGTTCAGTCGACAAATTCATGTTCTACCAAGCGGACAACGTCAGTTCATCCGTTTCCTTTTGGAGTCCTCGCATCTCGCGAAGACTGGCATGCCTCAACGTGCGCACTTCGTTACAGATTGGCCAACAGGCAGCACTTTCCCGCACACTAGAGACCCTATTGATCGATATTTGCTGTTTATCAGAAACCCGCCTGCAAGTTTCGAGCTCCGCGCTTACCCTGCGATCCCCCACATGTGACACTGGCGGCACATTCTCATTGCGCCTGTCTGGCGATGATGCAGCCTCAAATGCCGGTCAAACTTGCATCCGCACTGCTTTGAATCCCGGGGCTGAAGTTGCCCTGATCGATGGGATCCCAGTTGACAGTCGGATGTGCGCCGGTAGATTAGCTGGTTCGTTCCATGCTACGAAGTCGCGCGGGAACAAACGATGCTTGTTTGTCATTGCAGCCTGCGCCCCTACAAACTATAGCACTGATTCGGTGATAGATGATTTCTGTCAGCAACTTCACGATCTCCTTCGTTACAGAAGAAGCACGGATATTGTGATGTTGGCTGGCGATCTAAACGCCCAAGTCGGAAAATTGTCCTCTGATGAGCTTCATCTGGGCAGCCAACATGGTGTAGGCTCCCGTAATGATAACGGTGAGCGGTAGCTCAGCTGTGTGAAGATGCTCGGCTGTTTCTCGCGGGCACGAACTTTTGGCACAGCACCCGCAGAAGAGTGACTTGGCGCCCATGAGCCTCGGGCCAACCATGGACGCAAATCGATCAAGATCAGTTACCGCTGGAGAGGCTGTGTCCAAAACTGTCGATTGATTTGGAGCACGAGCGTGGACTCTGACCACGCACTTGTCCGCGCAGACCTCCGAGTGCGTTTCGGTGGACGTCCGCAGCGTCGATGTGAACGGATTGACACCTGCCAGCTGGCGAAGCCAGGTGTTCTGAATGTGTATTAAAAAGCGCTGACATCTGGGCTGATTAAGCGCCCACTGAACACCGTCGAAGATCACTGGTCGCATATTCGCCAAACGTTATTGTCAGCAGGCATGTCTTCATGTCATCATCATTATACATATCAGCTAGAGGTGGGAAAAACACCTCCGCTATTGTGCCGCAATACATGAAGGAAATACATACATAGATACAATACAATACACAAAGGAGAAGTAGATACAACAGTTGCATGCCAGCTGAGCTACCAGCAACGGATAGGCGTCGTTCCGGTAAGCTTCCAGCTAGCTACTAGGCAAAAAAATATTATGTTTTACCCTAGGAAATGAGATCGTAGATGGATTGGGAGGCTAAAAGGGATGGGGAGGGACAAAGAAACTCACAGCATGAACGCCACTGAGGTCGGCTCCTTGCCATGTCAGCAAGTGTATCCAGCCAAACGTGTTCACCGTCTTTTGGACCCCAACCAGGGAGCCGTGAAGCTGCAACCGAGGCTAGCTCCGAGGTGAGGGACTTCATTCCCCTGGACCAAGTCATCGCTTGCCCACCTCTCCTCTTCTTCCACCCACATCCCCAGTGAGTAAACAACGCACGTCCAGGGAGTCGGTGGGCTGGCATGCGTAACACGTGGCCGAGCCATCGGAGCCTGGTGCGGGAAATAACGGTGCTGAGCGGTTCAGATCCTTTTCCTGGGCCGTAAACAATGCGTCGAACACGCTCGTTACTCACGCGGTGTTCCCACCATATGTGAGCCAAACTGCGAAGGCACCGATGGTCGAACGTAACTAGCCTCTTCATGTCCGCCGATCTTATGGGCCAGGTTTCACAACCGTACAGTAGGGTCGAACGTACCGCTGCATTGTACACTCTGCCCTTCAGGGCGAGAGTGATGTCGCGCCGCCGCCAAAGGTGGCGAAGGTTAGCAAAAGCACTTCGAGCTTTCGCTATACGGTTCGTGATCTCGTCTTCGATCCCAAGGGCGCTGATACAACTTCCCAGGTAATTGAATTTCTGAACGACTTCTAGCTGATCCCCACCAAGGGTCAGCGCAGGAGGCGATCCCTGCCAATCTTGGAGGAGCGCTTTGCACTTCGATGGTGCAAAGCAAAGCCCGAAGCGGCTGACAGCCAGTGCTAATCTGTCTAGCGCGGCTTGGCACGTCTGGGAGCTGTCACAGGTAAGGGCAATGTCGTCAGCATACTCCAAGTCAAGAAGTCGTTCTCCTGGGAGTAGCTCCACACCTTCCAAGTCATGTCCTGTAAATGCAAACTCCATGACTTCGTCAATAGCGAATTTGAAGAGGAAAGGTGACAACGGGCATCCTTGTCTCACACCGCTGGAGATATTAAAGGGTGACGACAGCTTGCCGTAAGCCCTCACTCTGCCCGTGCTACGCGCATATAATGCCTGGATAATATATACATATTTCTCGGGCACACCTTTCCTGAGTAGACAATTCCAAAGGGCACATCGATCAACCGAATCGAAGGCACCTTTGATGTCGAGGAACACGACTAGGGTGGGCCACCAATATGTGTGGCGGTGCTCCAACAACTGACGCAAAGTGAAGATGTGGTCAATGCAGCCACGACCACTACGAAACCCGGCTTGCTCTTCACGAATCTGGCTTTCACGAGCGCCAGTCAGTCTGTGAAGAACTATGGAGGCGAGTAATTTGGAGGCGATGGAGATCAGACTGATTACTCTATGATTGCCGCATTCCGAGCGCGAGCCGCTTTTGAAGATGGGAACAATAACGGAGCGGCTCCAGTCGGTTGGGACAGTCTCCTGCTCCCACAGTTTCACTAGTAATTCATGCAAAGCATCCACAAGAGCAGGGCCTCCGAATTTGAAGAGGGCTGGAGGAAGCTCATCTGGTCCCGCGGCTTTGTTCAACTTCAACAGTCGGATCTCACGTTCGACTTCTGAGCGAGAGGGTGGATCCAAAGGGACAGCCCACGGAGCAGGGCGATCAGTGACCGG